AACAGATTCCCTAGATTGGTAGTACGGTAGTACTGTACTATTTATAGCTAAAGAGATATTACACATTTGATTTTATTGATGGAGAATTATTTCAGTAAAATGGTCATTGTTGATATTATTCTAATACTTCTGATATGCTTAAATGTTAGATTATGAGATATATTGATTGAATTATGTTATTAAATATAATTATGTTTTCTTTTTGTCTCCGTTTCATAATCAAGCTCATGCCAGTTATACAAATTGCAAAATACACGTTCCATGTTTGAAACAAATCAAATACTTTGTTATATGTTAAGCACACGTTATCTATTCCGAACCATTAGACATGCCGCTTGCCATATCTGACATGTCCATTATACTTCCTTAAAGCTCACTACCTTCGTGTAACAAATAGTTTATTTTATTTGCAAGCGCGCTATCAAAACAAACAGTAAACAACTACTAAAATAATAAGTAGTAAATGAAAAATGTTAGAAAAAACCATGTCCACAACAATGTTTTCGGTGAAAAGGGCCATTTAGAGTTTTAGTGCGCTTTTCAGTGTTTACCTTGAAAAAGGACATTCAACTTGAAACAAAAACAAGACCTTTTATAAATATCTTATAGTTTGGCAATTGAAAGAACTAAGTTTGCTCAGTGAAATGCGACTGTGGATGTGTAGTTGTAAGCATTGTCCTGCCTGAAGTGTCCTTTTGTAAACAAATCACGTACTACGAAAACAACGGCACAAATTATACGTTGTGTAAAAACCGTGCCACCTTAGCAATCATTTTTATAGCTTACACATTGTTTTTATAGCGAATTACGTATACGAGTACGTACTTGTACACGAGGTGTATTAAAAGGCCCTAAAATGGCACACAGATTATTTATGTATGAATATATGGGCGCTAGGCTGTTCTGAACTTTGATTTGCATAAATAGGTGAGGTTTTGTATAAATTATTTAGACCTAAATTTTACGAGTATTACAAGTACAGATTAAAATTAGTTATCAAAGTTTTTAGGACTAGAATATATACACATAAATAGTAGACCAATGCTTTCTAATTGAATTTTATTGCTCATTTAAAATCGTGTGTGATATAAAATTTATAATTAATGCGAATACTCTGTAGTATGTTAGTAATTAACAAATTATTAGGGATATTGAAATGGGTGATAAAGTTAATTAGGAGAATAATAAAAAAACGTCTCTTAAATTGCAGAAGTTTTTAAAATTCTTAAATATTTTAAAATAATGTAGACATTTTTCTCCATTTCGGTACTGTGAAGTGAGTAGATGTTCTCTTTTTGATGCGTTGAAAAGTGGAATAAAAGTGCTCTGGTTAGAAAGTGTTTGATTCGGTACCTCAAGATCCATTTACTTCGTTTTTTTTTCTAAGTTGGAAAATGCCGCAACATATCGCGGATGTTTACGATATCAATGTGATTGCAGCATTACACTTTTGTAAAATATTGTGGCAGTATGGTTTAAATCTGCTGTTCGAATTAACGTTTCCAACATTAGGTAAAAGTAATCATACGACAAGGAGTCACTCTGTCTGAAACCTCGATTAGTATCAACCGGTTCGAACATATTCTTCTCGATTCTAATGGAACTGGTGGTGTTGCTCAACGTCATCTAATATAAGTTTAAGTTTTAGTATAAGTTTTGCTGGGATACCAAATTCAAACATAGCGGCATAGAGGATGCTTCTAGTCGTAGTGTCAAAAATGGCTTTGAATTCGATAAGTAGGTCGACTGATCTGAACCCACTCTGATAACGTCCAATCAGTTGGTTGACACATAGTACATCTGATAGAACCTTTAATGCGACATTTAAAAGGCTGATCCCACGAATTATTCTGCGAATTAGCTGTTGCATGTATTTTGATAGCTTTTTTCACTAGCTTTAAACAATTCAACCGGTAAACCATTAGCGCCTGTTGCTTTATGTTTTTGATCCTCAGAATTTTATAGTTTCTTTTATGTATAGTGGGTGTGAGTTACAAGCGGAGTGAGTGTGATATATTCCCTAATCCGACTCTTTTTAAACTCGTCACCTACTTTAGTAAGTTATGTGACGGGTTCTGTATTATAAAATTTCTAAAAATATATGTATTTATATATAGGATTTCTCTAAGTTGACGGTTGATTAGAAATATTCAGCATAATTTCAAAACCTCATACATACATTTAATTCATAGTATATTCGAGATGTTGCGGCGCTCACTCAAATCAATAGATTGAATCACATAAACCTGTTGTTTGCAAAGAAATCAATATTAAAGACTTTTAGTCCTTATAAAACGATTAGAGCTGTTTAATGTATTATATCCGAGGTTTATTGAATTGAATAAATATTCAATAATAAGAAATTAATCAATGAAAGATTTCTTCAAGATGTCAATTTTCTTGAAACTAGAAATTGAAGGGTATTATACCTTTCAAAACTTAGATGACGGAAAAATTGTTATAGATTTTATAATGTGTGGGATAAATTATAATCGATTTTAATCACTTGTAAGTTGTCTAAGTGTTTAATATTATATTAAGATTTATTTGTAAGTTTTATTTTGTTAATGTTACTGAATGTTGTTTTCTATGGAACACATTTTAATTAAATGGGAACTATTATATATTAATGTATACTAGGACTAATGTTAAAGATATATGTCTAAAGACGCATGAGTACAAATTTAAAGAGAATGAAGTAATGATTTTATAGATCTTGTGTGTGCATCACTACTAATATTTATAAGACTATTACTTACGATTTTACTTAAACAGATATATATTATTTTTCTATATATATGTGAAATGACAAATAACACTGTACAAACACAGCTGGCAAATTTAAAAAAATTAAATTTTGTTGAAAGTAAGTTATGTTTCCTAAAATATAGTTTGTTTCCTTGTTTTTGTAAAAAATTTTATTTTCATGTTTTGTTTGTAAAATTTTATTTATGAGATCCTAAATATAATCTTTCTCGCAATAACTTTCAATGGTTTTGAGGTCAACTTTCCAAGTACATATTTCAGAAGTTTTTTTCTTTCTTTCGCTACAATAATTTTCACGTTGTTCCATAAAATCAAAATCTATTTCCAGTTGTTAAAACAAAAGTCACTCATAAAGCAACACGTTAGTAAGCTGGACATTTGTTTTTGCACCCTACACTCTTTAATAATGGCATTAAAGTTTTAATCTTTATTAATTTTTTTATTATTATTATTGTGCAAGAATTAATATTAGTACTCTGTAACGTATGAGGTCTATTATGTTATTTCTGGAGAAAGTCGCACATTATAATTCCTTCAGAAATGAAGATTTTCAATAAACTTAACAATATTATTTCGTTCTGTTATGCAGACCTTTTCGGGAACAGCAAAACTCAGATCGAAGTATTGAAATGGACTATTAAAAAAAAGCAATACATGGGTACAGAAACTTGAGAGATACTTTTCTCTGTATTGTCTTTAGGTTAGAACACAATAATACAGAGGGGTTAATATGGGTTAAGTTAACCAATAAGTTAAGTTAATATTGAAGTTGATTTTAATGAAGGTAGATAAGTGATAGAAAAACAATGTTTTAACTAAAAACATTTACAAGAATTTTACGAAATCAGAAAAAAAAGTTAAATAGTTTGAATAAAAATATGTTTTCTGTAAGTATAGCAGAAAATTTTTCAAAATGAAATTTTTGCTATCCCACCTTTTGAACCCATTTAAGTAGCAATACATGGGAGACATCAAATAAAAGAAGATTTTATATATTAAGTTATCAAGGGTTTTTTGATCTCATATGCTTTTGGGTGAAGTTGCAATTGACGCTCTGTATTCTGGAAAATAATCGATATGTATTCCCATACCGATACTAAGCATTTTTTTCATGTCTTGGAACAAGGAATCATATCCCGATGTTAAAGTTGTTTTGTTCGTACCATATATACACTATTATTTCCTATATTTTGTATTTAATACATGTTTGATTATATTTTCTAATTTATGAGTATTTATTAACAACAAAAATGATAATCTGTTTTAATGTGAATCTATAGTAGAGTATAGAAATGCGTCTCTGGCCACTTTCTTTTGCGGTTTTCATTGAAAATGTTGCCCTAAAAATTGTAATTTAAGAACTGAAAACTGCGAATTGTGCTACTTACGTGCACGTTTTGTGATTTTGGTGCCGACAGCAAAAAAAAAAAATACATTTTTTTGGGGTAAACCGTAATTAGCATAAACTTGAAGATAAACTTTTGTAAAAGGACACGAGAATATTATTAGTGTTTTACAAAAAGTAAATCGCGCCACATTTAATTATTTTTTCACACATCAAGTTCATAGTTTGGACTTTCATATTTAATAAAGATTATTAAATAAGCACATTATTTTTATTCTATTTCGATTGAAATATTATTTTTGTGTAATAATAAATGACTTTTACGTTCATTAACCTTAGACATTTAATAGTTTAACTTTATATATATATATATATTTGAGTGATATTTCTGTTTTTTTATTTCAATAAAGAAATTTCAATTTATTATCTTTAGTTAGTATGTGTATTAGTTTCAATTCACAAGTTACACCATTAACAGGCGCATGACCTCATCGGTTTGCTCTAAGGGTTGCTTCAGCCATTCCATTCCAGCCAAAGCACAACTTCGAATACATTAAACCAATTCAAACCAAACCAAAACAAAGCAAAACAAAGTTCTAGACAGGCTAACTTGGCTAAATACTAAGCGAAACATTTCACGCGAGCTTTGGAACGCAACTCAAAATAAAACTGACCATCGCGTCGTGTGCATTAGAAGTTCTCGCTTCGATTCAGTCAACACCGTGACCACCTGCGGGAATAAACGTCTAAAAAGTTCGGTGCTATTTTATTTTAAATCCCAACGCTTTGCATATAAATCTATTTTAATTAAGTGAGATAAGCGAAACTAATGAAAGTTTGCATTTTCAAAATCGTTTAGTTTATAACGTTTAGATAAATTAAATTTAAAATGGGTTGCGCTAGTAGTACTCCAATGATAGCAACAGCCGGAAGTGAAATGTTAAAGGCAGCGTCCAATGTCGCTGCGGATGCTACAAAAAGTGCTGAAGACGCCGTACAAGGTACAAATTTATTTCAAGACGAATTCTATGAAACATCTATACTTCATAGTTCGGAATTTTAATTGGTATAAAGAGAAATCCCATTCAATTGAATTTTTACAGTATTGCTTCATTTTAAAATATTCATATAATAAAATAATTAATAAATAAAATTAAAAATATAATAAATAATAAAAATAATAAAGATAATATAAGCAGTATAGTAGCTGGAAAACTTATTTTAGCGAAACCGCTATATCCATATATCCATATCTATGGATTTTTAATATTTAATAATTTGAAATATGTGAAAACAATATGTACATAAATTAAATAAAAGGTTTTATAATTATATGTACTATATAACATAATAAATAATATAATTGTATGTACTATACATTTTAATGAACTGTGTTGTTTTATAATTTATTTTAATCAAATATGTATTATTAAAGTCCAGAAATCACTGCGACCTGGATAGATCTATTATGCGGAGTCAGACATATAACTGCAGATAGATTGCAGTTTAACAAAAAAAGAGAATAAAATACATTTTTAATATATCTTAGTAACGTTATTGCCATTGACAGATATTATAAAATTTGTTGAAAATATCATAATGTAAATAATTAAAAATTAATGTTATCTTATGACAAAAATGCTTTTTCAAACACAAAAAAAAAAAACGAGTTAATAATTTTTAAATGAAATCTTGGACAACGCTATTAACTAGAGCTAATGTATAAACTACAGCTATATAATGAACTTAATCATTATAATTGAATAGTTTTTTTCAAATATTAAGCGTAAGGCTTGTTTATATATAAAAAAACAATTTGTCAATACTCTAAATTTAAATAACTTAAGTTATGTAGAAGTTGATATTGTGTATTAACACACGAATCCATGCTTCAAATTTGATAGGGTTCAATTCCTGACACGCAGTCCAAAACTTATATATGGCTAAATCAACCAATATATGTTCCCAAAAGGCTACTGATGACAGATATTTGACGGTATCTGAAACAGTTATATGGTGAGCTCAAGAATCGACTTATTTGGTGATTAAGTCATACAATAAATATGTCAATCTATATATGAATTGGGTTACTAAATTGAACTATCATATATGAAATATAAATGTATTCATTTAAATAAGCAAAAGTTGAAGTGTCAGCTAACATAAAGAGGAAAGCGAAAAAATGTCATAGCACCAGCTAACAGCATCAACAAAGCGAATATAACATTGAACAATTTCTGTGATTTAGGCTCTATCAATATTTTTAAGGAAGAAAATTACTGTAATTAATGGTAGTATAAATTCCATAATTTCTTTATGATGTTAAAATGCGAGGAAAAAATTTGTTTGTGATCGATTTTCAAATTTCATTTACATATAATGAGTGTTAGATACCTGTTGCTCTTTTTATAATAAATTATTTTTATATTATAAATAATTAAGCTAATTACAGTTTTAAAGAAAAAAGTCTAATAAATTATCTTTAGCATTTGTTTTATAATAGCTTTCTTTAATTATTACATTTTCAAGGTTATCTAATTACTGCGTCTAGAGCCTCTACCTTCAGATGCTCCATTTTGATGTGATTTTCTTAAACTTAGAATGCATATACTTTAAATTTTTAACCTGAGCACAAGTTCTGTCACACGTAATATATATATACTTCACAAATTTTACACATTTCATAACCAGCATTTATAACATTAACGTTATACAGTAAAGTAACTAAATTAACCATTAAAAATGTTATCATCACTGAATGTTAGTGATTATTTTGAATTTCAGTAATTAGTTTACATCTGAATTAGCTTACAAAACTTAAATATTTTATAATCTCCTTACAAGTCCTTGGGTAGTTATCAGCTTATGCATTCCATTTAAAAAATTTCGAACAAAACTCAATAGTACACAAAACACCATCGTTGTTTGTACAAATTTATTGTATTTGCTGTTTCTTACTGCATTTGGTCTTAGGTCGTTCAAATCTCAACTCTATTTAAATGTAAATGTGAATTAGTTATGCTGTAAGAACTCAGCTGACCCGTTTCACTTTATGGAAAACAATGGTCCGAAATAAAAATAGGGAACAACTATAAACCGAGATAGGTATATATGTGAGGTTATACAAACACTGAGTATTTGCATGGCAATTCTTTGTGTGGAAAATATTTAGTGATCGGCTTAAACTTGTGTTGTTTGTGTTGTTATGCTGTTTTGCTTTCCGCGTTCGCCGTTTATATTTTCTATTTTTGCTACATCTACGAATAGGAAGAATAACAATGGTAGCAATGACAATACAAGTAGTAGTAGGTAAGACACGAATAAAAGTGCCATAAGATTCGAAAATGTTTATTAAAATCTATATAAATATATTTTCAATGTTAAATTAATAAAAATCAACTGTTTATTTAACAATAGCTCTCATTTTAAATATTGGTAAATGTACAATATTGGATACTATTTTTTAGAGAGAATATACTATTTACTTGAATCTACTGTATTATATAATATTGTAGATGGTATGTTTATATACTTAAAATAAAATGGGTTCTAAGCAATAAAACATCCGATGCATTCTTTTCAATTTCCACGGATAGCGAAGCAGCCATTAGGCACCTCAGCTACATCAATTATAACTCAAAACTGCCGTGCTTCTTTCAATGACCTAGCTAGGCTTGTTAGGGTTAAACACATTTAAGTTTCTGGTCAAAGGGAGATCTCGGGTAATTGTAGGGTAAACGACCTCACCACTGCAAACGCTATTCTCCCTCACGCTCACATCTCAGATATAGGCGTTCCACTTGCTACAGTTAAACGGGCAATTAAACAAAAATATCTGAGCATAGTCAGGTGGGCTAATGAATCTCATTGTCAGATATCTAAGTTGATTTGGTTTAATTTATAAAAGAAACGAACTAGTCAGCTAGTTCAACTAAGGCAGAACCTACAGAGCACCACGGTGCTCATGCTATGAGACTGGGTCTACCCTATAATGGCTCTGAGAATGAGGAGGAGACCGTGCTCCATCTTAAATGTCAGTGTCCATCATTACCCAGAAGAAGATTAAAAATCTTCGGATCCCCTTTTCTTACTGATCTGACATCCTGTAACGTTAGGGTCCTGGTCACGTTTGTAGATCTATCAGGTTAGTTTTCCTTTACCTAATGGGGGAGTCGTTACCTTTTTCGGCGTTGGCTGTATATTGATTTAAATCTATATACGTGCCAATGTCATTCCTGTGGTACCACAATGGATCATCATTTGAGGTTAAGTGGGCTTTTTGGAAACAAGGTCACCACTCCAACCTACCTACCATACTTAAAAACACAAAGTCTTCTTCAAACCCTTGTTTTTTGAAAATTTGTACAATATACGAGTGTATGTCAGGGTAATTCCTAATTAATTGTAGTTGAAAAGCTCAGAATAAGTGTTGCAAGCTTTTGCAGAGGTGTTAAATTTCTGAATTTTCATGTTGGCATGTGAGATTAAAGAGGAACACACATTCCCATACACTGTTTCGTCCGAAGTCGAAATGGAAGTGAATTTGCTTCTCATGTTCAATTCACAATATTTTACTAATCCATATCATGCCAAGCTGTGCAAATATTATTACCTGTAAAGTAGCAAATATAAACAAAACAAGTACGCACACTTAGCCACATACATAAACAATGATATTATATACTTTTCGCACACGAACTCAAACACGAAAACATGTGAGCATGTTTTCACACATGCGAAAAACTCAGTACAAAATAATAAAAGTTGGGAAATGTCTGCCATATTGTGAAATGGCCGAATGGCCGAATTGCGTGACGACATCATTTAGTGGGCGGGCAACAAGCGGGCGGCAGCAGATGGTCTTGTACAACAAAAGCCACTTTAAGCGGCGATGTGTGCTAAATAATTAATGCTTGAACTTGCACGTGTGTGTGTGAGCTCGTAAACAAATGCTCAGCACATAAAATTCAAAAAGTTCTGCGATAAAATATAATCATTATAATAAAAATAATTCGAAATAAAGTAAAACTAAATGTAATTTGCATATTTTGAAATTCATTTGCAGATGTAACACATACAGTTGGAAAAACACTTGACACAGCCAAGGAAACCGTTGGAACAGCAGTAACTGGCATTGCCAACGATTTTGGAAATGCCATTAAGCACCAAACCGAAGCTTTAGATGATGCGAAAAACCATTTATTGGAAAAACTACACTTAGGAAATGGTGAGCACAAGAAACCGGAAGCTATCGAAGGTGCTGTTGAAGTAAACAATATGACAACAACTGCATCTATGACAGCGGCTGAACACGAAGAATTGGATGATATAGATATCGATGAGCGCTTATCAAGAGGACCAACACCGGCACCTGATGCTGACAGCTTGAAAACATCAACACCGGAACCAGAAATTGAGCAAGCGCTGGCAAACTTCAAGGAGGAAAGTCCACCTACACCGAAACCCACATTGTCTGAACTCGAACAATTGAAGGCGGAAGCTAAAGAGACAGTCGCAAATAAAACAGCAGCTGCAGTAGCGGTAGCGGCAACAACAACAACAGCGGTAGCAGCAGTCGTCACCAAAGACAGTACTGAAAAAATTATTACACACAACGATAAGGATATGACAGCAGAGACAACTAATGAACCACCTGTGGAGTGAGTAAAAGAGACTTGAAGCATATTTTGAAGGTGTACACAGAATACCATAAAAGCAAATATGAATTTCGTACGTTTTAATATAAGATAAGCACTTTTAAAGTAGTTAGCTTTTTTTTAGTATCTTTGATATTCATTTTACATAAACACCACAAACACAAACACAAACACACTTAATATACATAAGTATAATCTAACCGTATTTAATATAAAATTTTATCTCAATATGGAAATAAGCTACTATTGTTGTGAGAGATACTGATTAGAAGTCACTGTTTAAAGGATATCATGTTCATTTCTGGATTTTAGGTAGTAATAATTAACTTAAGTTCTATTAAATTTTATCGGATATGAATAATATCCCATAATTGTGTTGATTGGCTAATATTGTTACTATATACGTATACAGTAATAAAGCTTAGCTCCAAGTTTTATTTGAAGCGTATTCGATACGCTATAATATAATTCCCTAATTTATAGAAAAGTCCTGATTCAGCTTAGGAATCAGAAAAACTATAGAAGACTTATTAAACTTCCACATTTTTGACCAACACATTATTTACGAAACAAACAAAAATCCGGATTCCGTTGAAGGACAGAGATATTATAAACTACTTACATCACTTTCTCATTTTTTTTTCAAAATATTATTTACGAATTAAACAATATATTTTGATTAGTAAGAGTAACATTAATTTATCGATATTAGAGATATGCTTTTATAACACAATGATCCTAAAATATTTCTGTTATTTAAATAGCAATAAACTTTAATATAATTATAATTATATATAACATATACAATGATTTAACTAATCAAAAAGATTTTTAATCTGATTAACTGATGATAGCAGCCCATAATCCTTCTGAAACTGTAATTTATTTAGCTTCATTTAAAAAAATTCAAGTGATGGAGGCCAAATTTATTGATCTCTATTTTCTGTGACTTTAAATAAAAGAGGGTGTTGCAATAAAAGTGATATACATTTGGTTTTCCTAGTGTCGATCAAATGTGCTGCATACAGAGGAAGAAGTAACAAATTGTATCAACTTTTTACACAAAATTTTAAGTTCTGATTCAATAAAGTTAGTAGCAGCTACCATTTTGACTCCTTCTTCCGGGAGGATGACGTGCCACTTCATTTCTTCGGCACTAGGAAAACCTGGCAATTTAGTTTAAAATGTTGACCTCAATTTGTAGGTTAGTATTATTAACTGTATAAAACCTTGAAATAAGTTATTCTGATTATAATTTAATTATAATATATATAATTAAATTAGATTTCAATTACAATATAGTGTATAAATTTTCAGAATACAGAATACATTTTTTTCAGAATACATTTAGATAGAGATAGGTAGAGAGATAGGTAGAGAGATAGAGAGGTAGTGAGAGAAAGTGACTAAGAGAGAGGTAGGGATAGAGAGTGACTGAGAGAGGGAAAGAGATTGAGTGCGAGAGAATGTAAGTGAGAGAGAAATAGAGTTAGAGTTCGTGAGACAGAGAAATGTTCGTAAAGAAAAAGAACGAATTAAATGGAGATGTGGAAAGAAAGATAAGTACTAAAAAGAGAAGAAATTATAGAAAGGAGGAGATATGAATAGAGATTTGAGTAGCATTTGATTTGAAAAAAAGGAGTATTTATTGAATAGCCGAAACCTCACTTGAGGAATTTTTTTCATACATCAATTTTTGATGCTTGCTACACTTGATGAGTTTTGTAGATTGAAAATACTATATATATGTGTTTATATACATAAACCATGCTTGATATTGGGTATATGTAGAAAAACAAAGAAACATTTTGAGAAGAAATTTAATATTTATTTTGATTAATACCAAAATTACTTAAAAATTGTTTTATTTTCGCTGTTCACAGTTCCGTTCTGAAATTACTCAAGTGTACCATAGTCTAATAAACTTAAACTAAACAGTTAATACTAACAGGTGCAATATACATACTAACATATTAGTTTACTAAGTACCAATTATCACACATATTACATATGTACATATTTATGATTGTTTTACATATATACTGATATATAACAAGAAATTTATTAGTTCAGCCAAACATTTTATATTACACATTTGCTTATATATTCACTAAACACAATTTCAATTTAAAAAAATATAAAATAAATGTAAATAATATAATATAATATTTTGATTTACTTAGTATTTGTATTTGTATTAAGTTCAGTAAATTTTTATATAGTAATATTTGGCACAAACTTTATTGACTTATAACTTGAGATAACTTGAGATATTATATAAAAAAATGTATAAACTAAATACAAACTGTAAATAAAGTCATACATATTTAATAACTGAATAACTGAAAATGCTAAAGTTTTCATTTTTTTCTTGTAAATATATAACACGTTTGTTAAAAAACTCCTTCTTTTTATTTGTTTTTATTAATGAAATAACGCTTGCGATCCTTAACGAGCAACGCAAAGTTTTATATAAAAACTGCAACAAAAACTGTAAAAAGTACGTAGTGGTTTATATTTTATTTAAATATTTTTAGTTCATTGTTTTAAAAAGTTTTTTAATAACACTCCTTACATTGCATAGGAAGGCAACAGATGGGGTGGAGGCACGTCCCGGTACGACCGAGTGGGAGAAATATGCAGACTTATTGGCACACAGTCATAAATATAACCCGCATGATTTATACAAACGTGGTGGTACACTTCATAGATTTGGTGCACCCTTGAACGGTCATGGCATGTATTCAGCTTTCACAAGACCCACAGCAGTAGTGCATCGAATGCGTGATGATGATAACGTTGTTGGTATAGGTGAACACAATTACAGTGGCTACAACAGTCCAATGCAATCGAATCATTCAAGTACTGACTTTGGACAAATAAACAAAGTTAGAGGACGTTTACCGCGCAAGGTCAATAACAACAAAAATAATCATAATCATAATGAATTCGCTCCCTTAGTTGCACATGAACATAACGGAACAGTGCGATCGAGAACAAAATCTCCAACCGTTGGTAGAAAATTCGACTTTAATCCGAATCGTGAAAGGTTAGGTTCACCTGTTAAACTCAATGGAGTGCATCGTTCTGCTGCCCCTTCACCGATAAAATCAATAGCATATACACCATCGAGAAGGAATTCTGCTGACAAGTCGAATAAAGTGTTACGTTCAAGTGCCAGTTCGCCTATTAGAACGAAATCGCTTATACAGAATCGTGTACGTTCATCAAGCACAAATAATAAAGTTCACAATTCCAAATCGAACTCACCTGTAAAAGCAGACACACTTTCGAAATCATCACGTTCTTCCACGAGTAATAGCATTGTTATAGGTTCAAATCATACTACGCCTATATCTTTTAAGAATTTAAACACTATAAACTCAATATGCGACGACAATCAAAATATTATTTCACGTTCAACTTCCAGATCTACTTCACGTTTAGAATTACGTTCGCGTTCACCGCGTTCTGAGTATCTAGAAACACATAAATATTACAAATCGCCCATGAGAGTGAGAAATACTTCCTCATTTTTAAGTTCCCCACGCACTTCGCCGTTCAGTATTAGAAGGAGCTATGCAGAATATAGTGATAAGGAAAACAAAACAGTATTTATAGCAGATTTAAGCTCAATATCACCAAGTCGAAATCATTTATCACCGAGTCCATACAAAATGCGTGCCCGCTGCACTGTTTGTAATAATAAATATGTAATTAAATAATATTTGATAAAAATTATTGTTGTATCTACTTGATATTATATTATTCAGTATAAACTATCTGAGGATAATGTGAAAGAAGTGATAATTAAAGTTGTTGTGGGTAATGTGAAGTTTGAGTTGGTATAACATAATTATCATCTTCATCCAATTATGTCTGTAAACTTGAAATCTTAGCCAGTGGACATCATGCCGGTAAGTTTTTTAAATATTATTGTGCAAATGGTTGGATTTTTGCTAGTAGTGGTGAAGGTTATCTTCAGAAAGGATAGAATTCGAAGACTGGATACAAGTCGACGTTGTTGGAAAGTTGCATTGCATTGTCACGTATGTATATATCAAAGCACGGGAATCTCTATGTAAATTTGTTGACCTGAACTGCCGGGTCCATAAATAATTCAGTAGAATAAATAGTTTATTAATAAATAGTTTATTTTGATATTAATAGTATTTATAGTAATAGTATATGAATCCATATCTCAGAACCACTATATCAAGCTTCATTGTTATGCTAGAAATATGCTAATAATAGAGTAAAACTACGTTATTGTAGTATAGGTTTAATATTATATCTTATGAGCTTTTTAGCCAGAAATGTATGTCATTTAAATGTGTGCTAACAACAGAAGAAAATAAAGCCGTTATCATTTTTATATAGATTGCACCAATTATAGATACTTTCTTATATTGTCATTAAATTAGGGTTAATTTAAAGCTTTAAAAATCACATATAAAAGTTAGTTAATATAATAAGTCAAAACTCATCTAATCTCATTTCTGGACATGAGAGATTCAATTATAATAAAACAGGTCATGAGAAGACTGTGTTTGTAACTGCGTTTATTTAGGCTTCTACAGTTCCGGTAGTTTTAGCAGGCAGTAAAAGAGAGAATATAAACATATTGAATCTAAATTGTACCATAGTTAAGAAACCCTGCTACTTGGGTACAGTGAAGCTACAGATTAATTGTGCTCAGATGTGTATATGACGTATGTCAATTGATTAAATGAGTATTGTTATGTAAGTAGGTGAACCGATGTTGAACGCCTGAAGCATGAATATTACAAACGGTAAACCTATAGGGCTCTCACTCTTCTCTAAATTTGTGATAAAGAAATTATTGCAATATAAAAAACAGAACCCATGCAACAATTTATTTAGTGATTCTTTGCGCGATTATTAGACAACGAGTCTAATATATTCATTTGACTTCACCAAACTAGGCTATTTGAAGAATAATGCTAAGGAATTCTTTTCATGTTTATCACTTGCTACAATCTCTATCTGAGTTAAATCAGCAATTTTTTTCCAGAAAATACATAATATATATCATTAGTCGTGGTGTCTTACTGTGTGCCTTCAAAAAGTATCAATAATATATGTTTTTGTGGATAACAAATCACTACGACAGTGACTACTGTTATTGATAGAATTAGGTATATTGTTTGTATATACTTTTGTTTGATAACTATGGTTAGTGTAACGCGCTACCCCCACGCGACTTATAGGATATTACAATGTACCGTCACGCTAAAGAGCTGGTTGATCCCTATAGTTATGGTAAGTTATCCTTCTTCAGCAGAACAGAGTTGAGGTTTCTGGTGGGATATTTAACGGGTCTCCATGCGTTATCATCTTAACAAAATGAGTCTGTCCGAAGAAATAGATTGTTGACTCTGCTTAGAAGCAGACGAGACTTTCAGCAACATTCTCTGTGACCGCCTAGCCATGATCTGAGCCATGATCTGAGCCATGATCTGAGCCAGGAGGAGTTAACAAGATCAAAACTACTGTTGCAGTAAAAAAGATCAGTAATGGTCGCACTGCTCCGCTCCGTTGAAAGCTAGTACCCCGTTTATTCCTATTCCTGCGTAGGGCGTTACCATCTATAACACTATAACAATAAAAAATTTGTTTTCTGATTTTGAAATTATATTTTTATAGTAAATAGAAAGAAATGCTAGTGAGAAGAAAAAATTTTAGGGATATGTTTTTTTCTTTTAAAAAATATAATTTTTGTTTTATGATTCTGTTAATAATATTTAATATTAAACAACTTTTTATATATTTAAACACACATAAATTTTTATTTTATCTTTTTTGTCGTTAGTTTTTTTTTCGAAATATATATGTATACATATTTATAAAATACAAACATTACTAAATAATAAATTTACATATACAAAGTAGTTTCATAAGTACATTGCTTTTAAAGTTATTATTAATAACACACCATTGATTTAATTTTTAATTTGTTACATTTAATTTATTAATTTTTTTTGTTTCAGTTTAATAAACTATAGAACTGTATTTTTTAAATACAAACCTTTAATTTTTTTAAATATGTTTTTTTAATTTAAATTGATATCAAATTGTCATCAACACACAGATAAAAAATTGCTTTGGTTTTATATACTAAAACATAAAGAAGTACATATAACAACTATTTAAAGTTATCGTTTTTATTTTATATTTGGATTTTTTTATATTGTATATATTTTATATATCATAAATATTATATTTAATTTAGTAGATATTCATTATTATATTTGCAATAATTGTTAATGCTATATATTTTTATATCTTTGTTGCTCTGATAATTACATTCTCAATATTATTTTATATTACTAGTTTTTAAGACGAATAGTTAGTTATATATTAATATATTTAATTATTTTGAATATAATATCTTTATAATTGTTTTTCTTTTCCATATATATTTTCTATTTATAAAGTAATTGGTTTTGTAAAGTAAATAGGGGATTTGGTATTCTATTTAAAAATTTACTCAAAAATGGTGGTAATTGTTTTCAATTTGCTTAAATTTTAAATAATCATTTTATATTATAATATAATATTATTACAAAATATACTATTTATAACACATATATAATGTATTGTATAACATGAAACATTTAAAACTGCAGTACTTGCAGTATTCAGTGTGCATTTCACAGTTCTAATTGAATTAGAGAAAACACTTAATATAAGTTAATATCGGAAAAGATATGTACTCAATTTATTTCTATTTTTTTCTGGGGAATAAAAAAGTTAAATTTAAGAATTTTAGGACCTTTAAGATATTTAATTATTTTTTGTAAGAATTATTATTTTATTATTAAAATTTTGTTATATTAATAACTTTACTCTAAAACATCAGTCTTGAATGTACGATTGATTGCATAAATGAAATATGTCATTATATAAGCAAAATAGAAGAGGAAGACTAATAGACTAAAGAATATTTTTTATATAAAAAATTATGTATGGTATATAACAACAGATTGGGCAAAAAATATTAAGCGATTTTTTAACGAAATGAACAGTTAGTTGAATAATGTGTTTAAAAATTATGGTTTGATTTATTGCTTGATTTATTGTTTAGTTTTATACAATTTTATTCTATTAATTTAAATAAAATATTTAAGTACTTTTAACCCAATCAGTATATGTTAAATAATGTCAAATAGTTGACGATGGTTCTATGGATAATTTTTAGAAAAGCAATTTGCGAATGCTAATGACTATGTAATATGGTAATTTGTTGAGTTTCTTATAAAGTATGAAGAAAAGTATGTTTGTGAAACGAAAATTATGATAACCGGTAATACTATCATATGGTAAAACTATCGCCGTTTCGAGAAACAGCAGGGTATACTTTCTGAAATCATTTGTCTAAAACAACCAAGTGTTAGCTCATTACTGTTCTTGACATTTCAATATACACAACAAAAATGAACCTATCAGGATTCCACAAAGTTAATGAATAAGAGTCCAACATCATGAAACATCACCGTTTGCAATGGTTTCACTGAACTTCTTAGTCTATTACCACATTCTGTTGGTATCTCTAGATCGTAGTGTCAAAATGTTTTTCTCACCCAAACAATTTGATGAAAGAGAGTGTATATTTTATAAATTTTAATTTCGTTACACAAAGCAACCAAAAATCGACAATGATGAGATACAACTTTTTACATTTAATTTCGTTCACACAGACCATGCTTATTGGATTCGTTAGGCTCTTCATTAAGTGAAGAGCCTAAAATAGTTGTGTTGATATATTCAAGAAAACTTCTCTTAGTAAATGAATGAATATTTCATAGATTCACATTTGTGTAGATCATTTGTCCACAGACTCACAGTTCAAGCTAAAGATTATTACATTTACTGAAAGACTCTAATGAAATTTATTAAGGAAGTTCTAGATATTGTATAGCGTGTATAATATTATATTAAAAGAAAGAAATTATAAAGAAATTATTGAAAAATAATAGGAACTATTTTAATATTATCAAGAATATTTTAGCTTTAAAAGGTGAAAAGTGTTTGACTTTTATAAGTTTTAATATAAGTTTTTTATAAATTTTATCCTTGAGTTGATTATGCATTATCTGAAAATGAGTATTAAGGTAGCGTACTTATAAATCCAATTTATTTAAAATGAATGAAAGACAAATTTGAATAAAAATTAATTATTAAATAAAAAAAAATTATTAAATTAAATATATTTGTGCTGGAAAGTATCTTTGAAAACCTTGTAGTTCTTGAGAAGTATGGAGTACTATCATGAATTTTATATATTAGTTATTTTCTATATTGTATATTATATTTCTAAGAATATATTTTAAGTTACTTAATTTATTTGTATATAATTAATTAAATGCAATTAATGATATTATAGTGAAAGGATATAGTATTCCAGTTGATAGATAAATAAATTAAAAAGATAAATAGTTAAAAAGGATATTTTAAATTTAAATTATACTTTTAAATATCTTTAAAATATATATGTTCTATTTTCAGAGCATTTAGGAATTTAAAATATACATTATTAAAACTGGGAAATTAATCTAATATAAACTTCACATCTAACTAAAACAACTAATCTAATATATATCCGCAATATAGCAATTATCTGCTATTTTTATAGTTCAATTATCTTGTATTGTACTTGATTTGAATTCCTGTAATTGCATTTTGTTGTAAACACATAGTAAATACACATATATAATTATACTTTTAACATCTATAAAAATATATACCAAAATTTAATAATGTGATTATATTTGTATATATAAAAATAATGAAGCTAGCAACGAACTTTTTAAAACTCAAATAAAATATTTCATTTTTAGTACATTCGTTCAAAATGGATTTATTACTTCATTATATACTCCTATTAGTATATATTGATTCTGTATACTTACTATATATTAGTTTTGGCATTTTACTATGTATTTTTACATAAAAGAGTTTTAGTTTTTATAACACTTAAGTTTTGATTTTAGTTTTAATCAGAGTTTAACTAGAAAACAGCCATTTACATTAACAACAATGACAACAATAATTATTAACTAAAATTTAAGTTTCTGTTTTTGTTTTTATTCTACAAAATAAAATGAATCGTTTCTTTTATAAAATATATAGTAAACTCGTAGATAATCACGTAACATAACTCTACTACACACGCGAGACTACGCTTAAACACCCTAATTGCTACTATAAAATAAACTCTGGTACACAAGTATCTTATGCCGTTAACGCTTATCATAACTTTACGCTATAACCTTTTAGTTGCTAAATTAATTATTAGACAATGTAGTATTTCATATCTCATAAGTTATCTGGCATTCAAACAAATATAGGTACTAATTTTAAATTGCATTTGCAGTGCCATTAGTATCTGCTTCTTCTATTTGTAATGTAGTTTCGTTTTGCTCACCTTTGCATTCAAGCCTTTCGCTTTCTGATCTAGTTTCCAGCTGCACTACTTCATATTCTTCAATTTCGACTGACGTGCCCTTTTGTTCTGGTATTTCCTGCATGAGCGAAAATGAGCTAAGTTTTCGTTCATTTAGAGCAGCTTCACTGTCCGTTTTGAGCAGCGTGCTCCTTCGTTCGTTGATCAAATCATATAAGTCGTTGTTATTGATCATTTCCCGTTCACCCGTGGAACGTATATAGAATATGGAATCATCCAATTCTTTAGGTATATGTGGTTTAGGTCTATAGAAAGTACGGGAAGAACTACTACGTTGCAATAGTTTGTTGCTTTCATTAAAGGATTTTGTGAATTGAAGTATTGCAGCGCCCGCATGAAGCGGTAAGGTATCAGGTCGCGGCTTCTTTAAAATGCTTGCTTTTGTGGTATTATCATCAGTATGGGGTGTTTGTGGCATTTGAGTTGTAGCTATTTCCACATCACTAGTGGTTGAAAGTTTATCATCATAAAACTCTGTAGTTTCTTCGGGAAAGCAAGGTTCTAAACTTGATTGCCCAGACAGCTGTCGTATGGCTGCTGGCGGCTCTGAGCACACGGACAGTTGACTTCTGGAAAGTACAGATTTTTATAACCATATAATCGTAGAAAATGATTTATTGAAAATAAATAAAATTGAAAAAAACGTTTTATTTAAAGTTTAAATAAATTAATATTTTTTTACATATAAAAAGTGATTTGATAATTGTTAGTTTAGGCCTAACACTGTAATTTACCTAAATTCTTTTTCCACTGATGGTGTTGTAGAAGGGCCAGAATTATAACGCTTAGGAGAGCGTAAGATAGATTTTGGAACAACTTCCGGACTATGTAAATCTACTTGCACTCGTCTTGAATCAATACTTGAGGCATGACTTGCAATTGAGGCGCAGCGCACCGTCCAGCGGCCGCTATATGAAGAGTCTGACATGGTTGAACTTCTGCAAAAAATAATTAAAAACATTTTAATACACGAGCAAAAAATTGACTGACCTTCTATTTCCTAATGGGCTGTTTTTATCTTCTTCATGCTCAATTGGTTTTTGACGCGCCAGAACATGTCTCTTGGCTGTATCTGAACGTCTGTTACGTTCTGTGTTACGTACTAATTGCTTTTCAGTACGTCCGCTCTCATCAAATGATGAGGCATGCCAGTAAAGACGATTCGCTGGTGGTTGGAGTAATGCACAAACGGCATTTTCTCTTGTTGTTCTTTGTACTAAACTATTACTAATGCGAGTACCACGATTTTTGATATGGCGACCACTACTGTTTGTATGTATGTGATGATGTCGATGGTGATGACGATGATGTCGATGACGTTTATGTTCCAGCAGCATAGATTTGTGATTCGGTGAAAGCAAATGTGATATATTAGTAGAATAAACAAGTGGATGAGATGTGTGAGTGGAGAGATTTGGCACAGAACCAGTGTAGGTGAGGCGTCGTAGTTGTGGAGAAAAGCGAGCAGATGCACTAATGTATGTAAAATGTAGCAGTAAGTGAAGGAGTGATTTGATAAATTGGGATTTGTTTAAGTAATTATACCTGAGTGATTTGGAGAATTTGATGAGTTCTGCTGTGAGAGCATCACGATCAAATGGTGTCGTCTGTGATGGTTTTGGGTCAGCTGGTGATGATCGGAAGACACCAAAATGATGATCCCAGCGCGAAGATTGCATTTGAAGGCCTATACGAAAATAATTAAATAATTGTTTAAATATATTTAATGTACAAGAAACGGTGAACATATTTATGTTGAACAAAGTTTTAAAAACTTGGAGAAATATATGCAAAATGAAATGAAATAAAATAAATAAATAAAAGAAAAATTGATGCAGGTAATTTGCTTCCCCAAAATTTAAGACTTTTTACAAAAGAAATATTAATCAATTATTTATTATTTACTAAATAAATTTTTGTTTTAGTTATTTATTAAAATAAATAAGTTTACCCATTGCTCTACGTGTTGAGGCCGAACTACTTTGATTGCTTCTTACAGTCGTTTTACTACTTCCTCCAGCGCGAAAGCGAGCTGGTACCACTTTCGCAGCAGAATCTCGTGCTTCAAATGTCATCACACATGAAGCGACTACAATAAATCCGCCAAAACCCATAACGATAGGACCCACATAAGAAAAATTGTTAAGATGAAATCCTTTTAGATCATTCTTTACACGAATCGTAGCATTTCCACGAATTTCCGAACCCATTGACAAATGATCAGCATAGTAGCCTAATCAATGGAAGTAATTAATTTAGTAAATTAAAATAAAAGGATGAAAAATTTTGAGAGCAGAACTTGCACTTACCTAGTGTCGCCATACCCGCACCTAACAACATCAATGTCAGTCCCAGTATCAGTGCACGACATGCATGCCAAAGACATTTCGATGACATTTTACCTCGCACAACCTGCACATTCCAAGTGGCACCTGAAGCTGGATGTGCACGACGCAAATTTCCGAGCGAATGTTTGCGTCGTGTGGTGCCGACCCCACCAGATCGCCGTGAAGGCATCGCTGCAACTACATTGACCAATTACCTCAGATGCTTTGACTAGGACCCAGTTTTTTTTACAGATTCGCACTTTTACTGTAAATGAGATGAAAAAATCAAAGGTTAAACAAATACAGACTCATACATTGGCAACCAGTTTACAACACTACAAAGTGTAACTCAAATAGGTTACAGACCCACGTGTGCTCTCGAACAAAGTCAAAGCACATATTTGCACATATTTGCACACATTTGCACACATTTGCACACATACCTGCACACTCATACAATGTCGGATTAGTACTTTTTGTCTCGCCGTAATGCTCGCACTGTAATTGGGTCAAAGCGTTGAAAAATTTAAAATTCAGTCAAGATGCTTAAGGATTCTTCTGTGTATTCCGTGTATATTTTCCGACAGATTCTTTCGTGCGGCAATTGCCTTCATGGCAATTAATGTGTGTACACATTTGCGAAAGAGTAACACACAACGACAATTACCCACACCGCAACCTACTCCCTCATCTCTTGGTGAATAATCTCGGTTACTTTACTTATAAAATATGTACTTTTTATGTGGGAAATTTAATCAAAACCTTCAATTTAAACAAATCTAAAATCCGTGCCTCAGACAAATTTCAAACGAAGTACTCGTATCTTTCATTTTGGACGGCATATCCTTTGCTCATTTTCAATTGAACATTAGATGAGGGATACATAATTGAATGGATGTTTACAAAATTTTTAATTAAATCCGAGTTCAATTTGCAGTTAAGTAACGAATTATGCGTTGTGCGAAATTTGTTTTTCCAGGATATTTTTTTATAGTGTCTGCTGTATGTCAGCAAAGGGAAACGGAAAACATAATGCAAAGGAAATTATTTTGCTAATTTTAAGAATTTCTGTAGAGCGACTTAGGAGTTTACGAGTTACCAATATGTATCTTGGATGGAAGTGACTATTTAAATTATTACAAAATTTGATTAAGGAGATCAGAAATTAAAAATTAAATTAAATTATATTAGAAATTTATTTTGAAATTAAAAATAATTTTTACTTTTTATTACAACAATTAAAAAAAGTATGTACTTAATGTTTGTTAACACTACAATTAGTTAAAAGAAAACTAACGAGTAGTTAAGAGATTTTCAAAGCCCTTATATTAATTTAAATGGCAATTAAATCATGTAGCTGCTTTCGATGAAGTCGCTAGAGTAGGTCTGGGCTATGATTAACGAATGAATTTTAAATATTCGGTAATTATGACTTAACGTAACAATACATATATGTCACTGCTCTTAAAACACTATTCAACTTCAATATTATCCTCTACAATTTGAAGATATACCATATTCAATCTATATAATACGTGTCTTAGTGTCAGATTCGAAAAGGAATTTGCGAAAATGAATAAGCGGTGAACGAGGGCAAAATAAAGTATATGTCGACTACTGGTAGAAATGTGCGCAGAGCTAGTGGCTCTCGATTATACTTTCGAATCCTTCATGAATTTCATTTACCTTGGCACCGCCGTGACAAACAACAATGATGCCACCTTGAAGATCAGATGAAGTATCACTTTTGCCAATAGGTGTTATAATGAGCTTAGTAGACAATTGGGATGTAGTGCTTTCTTTCGACAAACATAACTTATGCTCTATTGGTCGTTCATCCTAGTGTGTTCGAAAGAAAAGCTCTTCGTAAGATCTTTGGCTATTCACAAGTTGGCGACGCATTTAACATAAAGTTCATTCCTACCATTATAAGTGCTAATATCTGTTTCTATGTAGGTAGACAAACAGTTGTTAAAGAATTGTCCTCTTCTGAATGCTACTCTGGCCCCAATATACTGCCTGAACTGGCAATCTAAAATTTTCAATGCCACACAGCATATATATACAATAGATTTGTATATTTAAAGATGTCGTAACTTCTGCGACACTTCAGGTAACCACCAAAAGCTGGTTTGTCCACTTGAATAATAAGAGACACTTCTTCTTAGTAAGTTAGAGTTGTGGTTGCTGGCAGCTCACCTAACTGAATATTCTAACCTATCCTACTGTTTTGATGAGAATCGTCTGTACAAGGTAGCAAAATGACCTAGAAGGGAATGTGGTTGCTGGCAGCTTACCTAATTGGACATTCTAACCTATCCTACTGTTTTGATGTACCTAAGCCGTCTGTACAAAGTAGCCAAATGACCTAGCAGGGAATTCGATTTCTAACTACATTATTGGTATTTATGCGATATAACTTTAAAAAAAGAAGAAGATATTGAAGTGAGTACTAATTCATATAAGACTATTTAGTTATATGCTTTCTGTACGATTTAAGTCAGTTGTTGCAGAGAAGTGTTGCAGGTTCAGTACACAAAGTTCCAATACATATTCAATATTCCTAACAGCGTTAAGTATATTTGAAAATCTTAAAAAAATAAGAAGATTGAAGGCCTTAATAGAGTTACGTTTTCTTTTGGTCCGTTCAAGTTAGGCTATTGATTTGTTACAACTATGGAAGTCTTAATTTATTGCTAAAATTTATTGATGAACAGAGCAATATTTAAAATTTATTTTTTCTTTAAGAAATGTTCAAGTATTTAATATTTATGTCTTCGTATTTAAGTATTTAGTCAATAAGACCGCAACCATCATATATAACTTCTAGTTCGTCAAATACTATTTCGAAAGCCAGTAATAAAATGGAAATAAAAATCAATTAATTTTTAATATATTAAGACATTTGTGACAATTATTATTTAATTTTTGAAATCAAAATTTATTTCTAATATTTTTAAAATTTCTTAATCGGTACTGAAGTGGTCAATTAAAGTTCTGTGTTTACTTAGCTATGTACCAGGTCATACAAATATTTTTATTGTGGTTTCAACCTTCATTCCCAGTTAGTACATTGTTTAGTATAATCGTGTACCAGGTCATATAAATATTTTCATTGTGGTTTCAACCTTCATTCCCAGTTAGTTCATTGTTTAGTATAATCGTACTGTATTCGTATTGGACAGCTTTTTTCTACTTTGGTTTTTTTTTTCTTTAAAAAAAACGAAAGTCCTTTTGTTTAACGTTATAAGTCCTGGCATATAAGGACAACGTTAGAGATGCATATTTGGCATTATGTACTCACATTAATACACTGCTCGTATCGTTCCTCATTTAATTAAAGTTTTCATTTTAGTTCGGAGCGCTTAAATTGAGTTTAATTTATATATTTTGTTTTTCTTGTCTAACAAAGGTTAAACTTACTTTAACATAAACTCAAATAAAATAAAAAATAAAAGTCCGATATAAAAAAGTTTTCCTTGAAAAGAGAATTTCAGTTGTTCAATTAAAAAGATAATTGAAAATGATATGTTATTAACTTAAATGAAATGTACTTTCAGAACTTGTGAAATAATTCAAACTCTGAAAATTTTGAAAGCAATAAACTTATCTCGATGATAAGTTTAATGTCCAACTTTTTATTGAAATGTTAGTGAATCGATATTATTGGGGATAAAAGTTGTTTTACTTATTAAACTAAACAATGTCTTTATATCACAAGTAATTTAGAAATAAAACATTTCCAATAAAAGTAAGATTAACAACATTTCATAGAATAAAATTCATACATATCTACAAGCATCAGAAACAAGTATCCCCAATGTCCTCTACAAAAATAATAAAATCAAACTTCGAAAATGGAAATAGGAAGGCATGGAAACATTACTCTTTAAAGAGCGATAATCGCTTTAACTTTTTTACAGATGGCTCAAAGTTAGATGAACAAGTAGAAGGAGGAGCATACTGCCTTGAACTAGATCTCAGTCTGAGTTCCCGGCTACCAGATCATTGTAGCGTCTTTCAAGTTGAAGTATCCGCTATAGTGGAACCTTCAGATTCGCTGAAACACAATGTTACCTTCGTTAATTTTATAAACATATTTACTGATAGCCAGGCAGCTATAAAATCTTTAAACTAATCGACCATTAACTCGAGATTAGTACTGAATTGTCTTACATCACTCACGGTGATAGCTGAATATTTTCGAATATGGATTATTTGGGTCCCTAAATACAGGTACATCCAAGGCAACTGTATGGCAGATGAACTAGCAAAGCATGGCACGACCGCACAAATTCAGATGGCTCAAAGTTAGATGAACAAATAGGAGGAGAAGTATACCGCCTTGAACCGCCTCTGAGTTTCCGGCTACCAGATCATTGTAGCGTCTTTCAAGTAGAAGTATCTGCTATAGTGGAACCTTCAGATTCGCTGAAACACAATGTTACCTTCGTTAATTTTATAAACATATTTACTGATAGCCAGGCAGCTATAAAATCTTTAAACTAATCGACCATTAACTCGAAATTAATACTGAATTGTCTTACATTAAGACTGAAAAGTTTTCGGAAATTCTCATTTAAAATTCGCGCGCTGTATATTTTTCGATATTTTAAGTTTATGTAGTTTGGCAGCACTGTCCTTAATTACTATGCCAAAAATGAGCTCGATCTGTCAGACAGTTCGTTTACGGCAGCTGTTGAAACCAGTTCACCTCAGTAGTGCGTTGCGAAATGTCTTCGACGGTCGTACGACCGTCCTGGAAGGCTTTGTACCACTCATAAACTTGAGTTTTCGATAAAACTGATTCCCCATAAGCCTTTTGTAGCATTCGCAACGATTCTGCACACGAAATTTCGTTCGAAACACAAAATTTGATGCAAACTCTTTGTTCAATATTTTTTTCCATTGTTTTTTTCGCAACGCCCTACTGAGGTGAACTGGTTTCAACAGCTGCCGTAAACGAACTGTCTGACAGATCGCGCTCATTTTTGGCATAGTAATTAAGGACAGTGCTGCCAAACTACATAAACTTAAAATATCGGAAAATATACAGCGCGCGAATTTTAAATGAGAATTTCCGAAAACTTTTCGGTCTTAATGTACATCACTCACGGTGATAGCTGAATATTTTCGGATATGGATACAGGGACATCCAAGGCAACTGTATGGCAGATGAACTCGCAAAGCATGGCACGACCGCACAAATTCTGAGAGAGAGTGTGGGTATACCATTCGCTTCTTGTCGGCATCGAATAAAATTATGGGTTCACCGGATGTTTAGGAGAAGATGTTCAATAGTGACCAACTGCA